TCCTTTGAGCTTTATCTGCAGCGTATTTGCTGTTTGCTGTACTGTCCAGTGTGGTCCTTCTGTGTCCAAGGCTGGCTTAATTTATGTATAGTGAATCCAGGAGTCTCTGCCTGTTGTTTTCACATCTCTTTGGGTAGTCAAAAGAACTTGAAATGGTTCTTTCTACTTCTGCTTGAGTGGTTCGTCACTCCATGTCCACATGTACATACAGTCTCCCAGCTTATGAGGATTTACTTGAACATCCAAGGTTACTGGTGAGGCTAAAATGAACTTATGCAGTGATGAAAGTGTTTTCCCCAAGGAAATTGCATATTCTCCTAAACTTTGATTACCTATTGCATGGCTCTCTCTTGGAATTATTACAGTTTGATATGGTCTCCCTTAACAGATTTCATATGGGCTTACCTTTTCCTTGCAGCCTGCCTGGATTCTAGTTCTCAACAAAGCCAGGGGAAGAACCTGTGGCTATTTAAGTGAGATTTTTGACAAATTTTGTTCATTTGCCTTTTTAGGCTTTGGTTCATTCTCTCACCTTTCCCACTAGATTGTGGTCTCCAAGGTGTATGTAAATTCTATTTGATTCCTAATGTTTTGGACAATTTTTGCACGATTTCTGCTACAAATTGAAGTCCCCTATCTGAGTACATTCCCAATGGAATTTCAAATCAGGGTATTACTTCTTTTAATAATACTTTAGTAACTTCCCCTGCTTTCTTGGTGCAACAGTGAAAAGCTCAGGCCATCTAGAAAACATGTCAACTAAAACAAATAGGTATCAATATTCTTTTTGTCAAGGCAACTCAGAAAAATCTATTTGTCAGTAATCTCCAGGACAGTTTCCTCTCTCTGTAGTCCCTAAAGGAGGGCTTTTGTAGCATTGTGAATTGTTTTGCAAACATATTTTACACTTACTGACTAAACTTTTAATGATTCCTGTCATTTTTTACATTGATTACTTGATGCTTCAAGCTATCTATAATAGCTTCTGCTCCCCAGTGTGCTTCTCTGTGTTTATCTTCTGCTACTTGTATCATCACTGGTTGAGGTACTATGACCTGTTCTTCTTCTATTACCCACTATCCTTCAGAATTTAGGTGGGCTTTCAAAATTTCATCTAATTTTTCATCTTTGGCTTGGTACTCTGGGGTTATGTTTGAAGAGTTCACACATTTTGATGAAGCAACTATTAGGATGCTTTTGTCTGCCACCTCTCTAGAAGTTCTATCTGCTAGTCAATTTCCTACATTAATTGGTGTAATTCCAAATTAATGAGCTTTGCAATGCATGAGAGCCATTTCAGTTGGTAACTGAATATTTTCTAGTAATTGCCTAATAACATCTCCAAATTTGACAGGGGATCCTTGTGCTGAAAGGAGCCCTTTCTTTCTACACAGCTCCATACTCCAAATGCATATCTAGAATCAGTCCATATGTTGGACTGCACTTTGTTTTAAGTCTTCCTGGCATTCTGGTACAGATTCAGGGAATATATCTGCGTTCAGGACAGTAGTCCTTTTCGGTTCTACGTCATCCTGTTCCAACAGGGCAGCTTGATTTTTATGCATCTGATTTGGAGATAACCAGTGACCCCTCCTTATGTTCTACAACAGAGAACCATGTTGGAACATAAACAGCAATTTTCTGGGCCATGGTCAATTTCTAGTCTTCTTGTATTAAAACGGCAGTTGCTACTACAGCTTATGGGCAGTTGTAAGTAAGTCCCTTACTTACATTGTCCACTTCTTTGGAAAAATATCCCGTGGCCCTCTTCCATGCCTACAGTCTATGAGCTAGCACACCTGATGCAAGGTGTAAGTATTCATGCACAAACAGTTCAAAAAGTTTGGTCAAATCAGGTAATTCCAACATGAGGCTGATATTAGAACTATCTTTAAGTTTCTGAAACCTGTCTGGTATTCTGAACTCTACTGTAGTATCTTCTTAGGGTTTCTCAGGGCCTCATATAAAGGATGGAGTCATATAAAGGACTGTCTTACCACCAGTCCATATTAGGAAACCATAGCTGACACCAACCCACCATTCCTAGAAATGTTCTTAGCTCACCTACAGACCTTGGCTCCAGAGCTTGGCAAATTCATAGAAGCACAGAATCAACTCTGTTGGAAAAGACTCTGATATCATCAAGCCCAACCCTTGATCCAACACTGCCATGGTTACTAGATCATGGCACTAAGTGCCACATCCAGTGTCATCTTAAAAACCTCCAGGGATGGTGAATCCACCACCTCTCTGGGCAGCCCACTCCAGTATCTGATTACTCCCTCTGTAAAAAAGTTCTTCCTAATATCCAGCCTAAACCTCCCCTGGCAGAGCTTAAGACTATGCCCTCTTGTCCTACTGCTGATTGCCTGGGAGAAGAGACCAACCCCCACCTGGCTACAGCCTCCTCTCAGGGAGTTGTAGAGAGTGATGAGGTCACCCCTGAGCCTTCTCTTCTCCAGACTAAACAATCCCAGCTCCCTCAGCCTCTCCTCATAGGACTTGTGCTCCAGTCCCTTCATCAGCTTGGTTGCTCTTCTCTGGACCCGCTCCAGCACCTCAATGTCTTTCCTGAACTGAGGGGCCCAGAGCTGAACACAGTACTCAAGGTGTGGCCTCACCAATGCAGAGTACAGGGGAAGGATCACTTCCCTGCTCCTGCTGGCCACACTGTTCCTGATCCAGGCCAGGATGCCATTGGCCTTCTTGTCCACCTGGGCACACTCTGGATCATGTTCAGCCTCCTGTCGATCAGCACCCCCAGGTCCCTTTCTGCCTGGCTGTTCTCCAGCCACTCTGTGCCCAGCCTGTAGTGCTGCAGGGGGTTGTTGTGGCCAAAGTGCAGGACCCGGCACTTGGCCTTGCTGAACTTCGCCCCCCTGGAGTCAGCCCAACTCTCCATCTTGTCCAGGTTCCTCTGCAGAGCCCTCCTGCCTTCCAGCAGATCAACACACACCCCCAACTTGGTGTCATCTGCAAATTTGCTAATGGTACACTCAATCCCCTCATCCAGATCTTCAATAAAAATGTTAAACAGGACTGGGCCCAGCACTGATCCCTGGGGGACACCACTGGTGACTGGCTGCCAACTGGATGCCGCCCCGTTCACCAGCACTCTCTGGGCCCGGCCCTCGAGCCAGTTCCTAACCCAGCACAGAGTGCTCCTGTCCAAGCCAGCTTTTTCAGGAGTATGCCAAAAAGAGATCCTTCACTCTGGTCCAAGGCTTTGCTATCCCCAGGAAATGGTGAATCCCAGATATGTTACATGCCTCTTGGCAATCTGGGCCTTCTTGTTGGATACCCTGTAACCAGCTTGTCCCAAAAAGTTTAGTAAACTTACAGTCATTTCAATGCATCCAGTTTGAGTTTCTGTAGCAGTTAAAATATCATCTACATACTGCAGCAAAGTGATTTCTTCATTCCCCTTTTTCCATATTTCCAATTCTTTTGTCAATTGATTACCAAAAAAAATAGAGCTATTTTTGAACCATTTTGGAAGAAAATCTGTGTTAATTAGGTTTTACGGGCCATCAGGCTTTCCCATTCAAAGGTAAACACCAGTAGACTTACAGTTTCAAGGGGTATGCAGAAGAAAGTATCCATAAGATCCAAAACACTGAACTGCTCATCAGATCATTTAATTGTGGTTAAAAGTTCATAAGGATTTGCTACTGCGGGGTGTATGTCCTGCACTATTTTATTAGTAGATCTGAGATCTTGCACTAGCTGATATTCATTAGTATGTGGTTCTTTAGCAGTAGGATAGGAGTATTATATTCTGACTCATGTTGCCTTAGTAATCCATGTTGCAAAAATTTAGCAATTAATTCCTCTAACTCTTGCCTAGCTTCTAATTTCAAAAGATATTGTTTCTGCCTTGCTGGTCTGGCATCAGGTTACAACTGTATTCTTGCTGGTTCTGCTGCTTTTTATTTCCCTGAAATTCCGGCGTCTCACACCAACAGAGTGACAGCACTTTCCACCTCTGGGACATTGCTGATGCACTGGTAAATAACTGGCTAGGGAGAGTTTTAAATGTAATTGGATTTTCCATGTGAGGGTGGCTACCTAGCCTCTTTCAGACTTTGATAATGATTATAATAGTGATTGTTGTAATTTGGATCATTGTCCACTGCATTAAGATCACTATAATGAAATCAGTCTCCACAGTAAACTGTACTCCCTTAAACCCCACCTGTGACATTGACATGCCCCCCAAACCGACCTATACAATTGACATTCCCCATCTGCCTCTGTCAACATGTTGGATGCCCCCAAACAATCCTGAGATGGTACCCTTGTCCCTGTTTGCTCATTGCTACTGTTAATGGTTCCTATGATGTTGGTTACTACTGCAAGCTTATTTATTCTTATTGTTGATTGATTGTTTATTGCTAATGGTATTTAAAGAATGATCACCCACAGTAGGCACTGCAACTCAATAACACTGTGTTTCCTCTTAACTTTGGAGGCAAGTGTCTCAGTGTCTGCATGGCCATCCAAAGACACTGGTTGGATCATGATGGTGGTGCTGGGGTAGAGTGTGGCAGGAGTACCCAGTATCCATCCCCACCTGCGGCATTGTCATCAGTGCTAATGCCCTGCTAAGGAGGTAAAGGCCTTCTTGGTTGTGCTTCTTTTTGTGCTACAAATGAGATGACTTTGATGTGGTGTGTTTTGTTTCCCTGTCTGTTTGGGCTGTAGGACAAGAGGTCTGTGGGGAGGTTGCTGTCTGACCCATTGGGACAAGCATGAGAACCCTGGAGGATGAAGACATAGGGGTGTGAGAAAGGATCCAACAGAGATTCCAGGTAAAGAACATGGCTGGAGCCATCCGCAAGGCAACACATGCCCATAATTCAGATGTCTTCTGTATGAACGTGATCTCTCCACCAATAAACACATGTTCATGACAACTATCCACCACGATATAGGCACTGTCGAATGTCAGCACATGTCACAGAGCCCTCTGTGAGCCACTGCCTTTGTGACCCGTCACTGGCATTGATACAGCCACCCCACGTAACCCTGGAGAACAAAATAAGACAAGACAGGGCAAAGGGGCACTGCAAGGAGTCCCTGCACAGCCACTTCATGCTTTTCTGACACAAAATTCAGTGGGATGGCAGAAAGATCACCCAGTATTCCCTGGCCGGCCTGGGTTGTGCAGGAGGACAAGGAGGGGAAGAAAGGCCCAGGGGATGCCCCAGCACAACAGCCTGAAGTGGAAGTGGTCCAGCCACTGCAGACAGGTAAGTGGCTGAGCTAGGCCATAGGGCTATGGTGCAGCCCAATCCTATCCCCTGTGGACATCTCCAGGGAGGAAGGGGAAGTGGGAATGGGGCTGATTCCACCAGCATCCATCCCCATCCACTAGGCACCCTCAGCCCTAAGCTGCAGCCAGAGAGACAGGAGTTGGTGTCCCTACTATTCCCTGTCCCAGGGCTGTCCCTGCCTGGGGACTGCAGAGCTTGGCTGTGTTCTCCAGCCTCTCCTGCAGTCCCTAAGCTTTGAATGTGCTTGGGTTTTGCCATATCCAGTTGGGGAACTGCCAGAGGAGAAGCACACCCATGGACTCTTCGACAGATACACACAGGTATCTGCAGACTTCCCCTCCTGGGCTGGGGCTGCTGTTGCTGCTTAGTGGAGGACTGCTGTCAGAGCACTGGATGTGACATCCTTCTGTTCCCCCTTAGATGTTTTCAGACTTCCATAAGACCACTGATCATGAAGACAAGACCACCATGGACCTTGAGGGCACGGCAACCTCCAACTCCTGTAAAGCAGAGGATTGTGCTGCCATAGTGGGTATTATCATGGGAAGTGGCAGCTCCCACTTGAATAAAGTAAGTAACTTGTGGCCAGTGCTGGAGACCCTCAGGGAATATGAACCCTCTCAAGCTGTGTCTGCTGGCCAGCTGACAGACTTTCAGGCCAGCACAGTGTGGTAGAAAAGGAAGCATTTCTAATGGGAAGCTACAAAAACACCTCACTCTACGAACACCATTTCTCTGCCATGTGTCCTCCAGGTGCCAACCGTTGTGAGGGACATTTACCAAAAGCTTACGAAGATCAGAGATGTGTCTCATGAAGATAGGTTGGAAAAAACCCTTCAAGAGATGGCAGCTGCAGAGCCCCATGATGTGGTGGTGACGCTTCTGCGCTGCGCCCCATCATGTGACAGGTACAGAGCCCATCTTCTCTGAGGGCTAAGGACTCACAAGCCATTTTAGCCCACCAGAGCTAATTCTATGTGGACTACCAGACAGTTAGAGATTTTCACGTGCCTCTGACCCTTTTGTTTCCCAGCTGAGCTATGTCAGTCCCAGAGCCAGTTGCCACAGTCCCTTCATGTCCCTCAATGCATCATCACTTGGCTGCCTGCTGCCTGCAGAGGCAGGCTTACTGGGTGCTGCTGCTCAGGGGCAGAGGACAGGGGCAGGGCTGGTGGCCAGCTAGAGCCCCTGTGGCTGGCCATACCATGGTGTTGTGGCCAAGACCTCACTGACACAGAATTCTGGGCCTGCAGAGCCGCTGTGACCATGTGGAAGGCAATTGTCTCCTCAAGCAGAGCTGCGGAGAAGGTGCTGCCAGAGCTGCTGTGCGTGCTGGAGGACTGGCCACTGCACAGCACATGCACCTCTGACAGGGACTACTCAGACATTTTTTCCCTGGCTGTGAGTTGCTGGACTAGACTGTATCGCATCCTCAATAGCTAGCTCTCTGGCAGCCATGTCAGATGCTCCCCCTGCATCTCCCCTGGACCAGGGCAATGCCTGACCCTCACCCTCCCACCCTCAGGCCCTGCCGTGGGGATGTCTCAGTGCTGAGAGCGATCTCTGGATGTTTTGTTCTTTTGCAGGCAACCAGAGCACTGTGGGAGATCATCCATCTGCCCCACCATCCAGAGGCACTGATTATGTACTTACCCCGCTTCTTTGTGGCTCTGCTATTCCAAGTCTTCTCCAGCACAGCGCAGATGACAGCAGAGGTCAACACCTTCTGGAGGAGATGCCAGCAGGAGCACTGCCTTCCCACCAACCCCAGCAGGTGCTCCATCACAGCCCTCCCATCCCTCCCATGCCTTTGGAGCTGGGCTCAGGAATCCTGGCATGACCTGGGCT